GTTCTGTATTTAGAAAGCAGGGCACTTTGCCAGCAATTCTTGGAAAGACCTAAAGCAACTTTACCATGATGAACATTCGATTCAGATAAAAAACACTCTGAGCAAGCCTTCCTCGGTTGTTGCTTTTTTTAATCATTAGATTTCTTTGTAGAAACACGGAAGCTTTATTTTCTCTCTTTTGTTGTCTGGTTAGCTACTTTTGTTAGCCTAACTGCAGAGTGATGTCCTGTCCAGCTGGATTTTCCATATACAGTCGGAGCAGGAGGTTCTTGCTTCATACTTGGAGCTAGTATGTTGCCACATCCTGAACAGGCTGTGCGATGCTTCCCTATGCCAGGCCTGCTCCTGTTCGAGAGCAGACAGGCTGCTGGTCTGAATGCTGCCGGATGAAATAGAAAGGGGAAACGAGCTTCAGCACAAAAGCCATTAAAAGGGAAGTGTAAGAAGAGCTCTTTTAATCTGCCAGTCCTCCAGAAAAGCCTGGCTAGGGTTACCTTGATCTTTTTCAAAAAAGCATATTAAGTTTGTTCCCTGCTTCTGCAGGTTGTTTGCAAAGGATAGAGGGAGAGGAAGATACTAACTTGGCACATACAGAACCAAAGTCAACCTGAATCTCCTAGTTCTTGGTAACAGCTCTATTTAGATGGCAAAGGAAGACAAGGTGCTAATTGCTAATTTTTTTCCTGTTTTTTGCTAAGGGAGGGAATATAATGTATGTGATGTGGATGCTGAAAGAATCAGAGCAAACCTCAGCGACCAGTTTATGTAACAGGTGGAGAGTTCTGACACAGATTTTCTTATTGAGGAGCTTGAATCCTAGGTGCTTTATCTGGCTGCAAGAAGCCTCTGGTGACGTGGAGTCTGACATAGACGCCATGGCCTGTGTCATCGGGCCAAGCCGAATTACTCTGTAGCTCCTCACACACCCAGCCTTGCTTCACTCTGGTGTGTCATTAACTAGCCTTAGCCATTGAGGACTGTTACCCATGTTGCGATTTCCCACTATTATTAGCTTAAGAATGGGAAAGCCTATTAAAGTTCTTTATTTAACTGGATGTGCTGTCTGCTGTGTAGGTACTTCAGTAATCAATGACGCTTATGGTTAAGTCTTTGGCTGTTTGTCAGACTATTTTTGAGATGTCGTGGGCTTTCGATGCTGAACTTTCACAAGTGCTCATGATTAATATTGTTTTTCACCAGTATTGTTTTGTTCATTGGTGGCATTTGTTTCATTCTTGCTATTTTATTTGGCACATAAGACCTATTGTGATTGTTGTTAGAGATCATTATGATGCTGAATTTATTTTCCTGTGTATTTGTTTTAAAACCTCTTTGCTTCAGCACAGGCTTGGACCTGTTGTCTGTGGAAGGATCTAGATGTGAGGCTGATGTCCGTTCTGACCTTGCTGACCAGAGCCTCGCCATGCTAGGCGACAGGGCGGCATTTTTTTGACCAGACAAGATATGCTCACGCCCCCCAGGCCCTCCACTCAGAGCAGGTGTCTGCTCCAGCCTCCCAGGGTGTTTTCCCACTTGGCCTCAGAGCTGAAATTCAAGGCTGGTGTCACATATCAGGCAAATCGGAGTAGGGTAGAGGAGGGAGGGAGTGGCGGATTGGAGAGCCTTAAGACTTGGGACATCTCCCCGGGCTTTAAAAGGACAGCAGCCTGATGAGCATTTATGCCCAGTTTAACATCTTCCTAATTTTCCTCAGTTACCCTGCCATCTGTTTGCTGCCTTGGTGACCCCTTCATAGTTGGTGTAAAATGAAAATGTCTTAGCCATTTCAAAGCAGTCCTTCAGGTAAATTATTAATATATTATTATTTTATGTATATAAAAAGCTAGAACTAAAAACTTTTATCTATAAAAAAAGCTAAGACACTGTACACAGTGATAAAAAAACAAAAGAAGTAAAAGGAAAATTAACATAACATACAGGTTCATACAGATAGAATGTTAGGCAGTTAGACAGGCCCTAGTGAAAAGGTGAGTTTGGGGTTTGGATTTGAAGAGAGTCGAAGTCTGGGAATGGACATTTCATCATAATGGAGCAGCGACAAAAAAAGGATGGTCACTGAAAGTCTGAGATTTATTCCCAGGAACAGTGAGCAAAGGACGAGCCTCAACTGAACAGAGGCTAAGGGAAGAGGTGTAAATGTGAAGGAGTTCAGAGATGTGTGATGGAGACAAACTTTATAAAGCCTCACGTGGTGCCACGTCTCAGTTCTCCACATGCTTCTTTTTTTTGGACCTATTGGTGTCCTTTGGAAAGCTGCCCTCGATTGTTGCCTTGTGACTGAAAAGACTGTCCCCCATTGAGGGAATAAAGAGGAGGCTGTGGTGTCCTGTCTGCTACATATTCCATCCACTCTTCTTTCCATTTACTCTGCTAAATCATGCAAGTGAATCATTGCTTATGATGGGGAAATTAATTAATGTCGAGCCTGACAAAAAAATGAATTTCCTGAAAAACAACAGACAGATTGTTTTTTTCTTTTTTTCTAGGCTTTAATTAAAGAGGATCATTAATAAAGGGAACATGCTTGATGGCTGCTGTTATTAATTGATCTGTAATTTAGAGCACAGTGAACTGGAGGAAGCTCATGGGACATTTAAGTGTGTTTATTACCAGTAAATAGGCTGTTTGTTTTGCTTCATGAGCAGCTTTTCATTTAGGCTACCTCATGGTTTTGCCTTTTGTTTTTCTTCATTTAATTTATTTTGTTTAAATTGGTTCTGCATTAGGTAGTGAAAAGGGGAGTCTGGAGCATTCTAATTTTTCTCTTTTCAAAGTGACATTTAAATTATACAGTGGGTGAACCACTTAGCAAATAATTGTGTTTGTGCTGCTGGCTGCCATAGAAGGAGTTAGTATTCTGTTTTTGTCCTAAAGATGTTTGTACACTGTACTTTACAGGGTACCTTACAGAATTAATGGATGATTTTTTATGCTATTGGTTGTTTTGCTTAAATCTTGCGTATACTGTTTTTATCATTTTAAATGATATATTTGTTGTTTTAATTAAATCTGACATAAATTTATCATTTTAAAACCCCATTCTGTCCTGTTTGTTTCTTGTGGGTCAAAATAACAATATTGTGTTAGTGTTAGTTGAGTATTGAATTATTGTTAAGTAATACTCATAAGTGCTAATAAGGGTGGATGTTCTGGCATCTGATAGCTGCTGCACAAATGCATCACAGAAGTACGTGGCTTCTTACTGGATGTTATATCCTTTGATTTTTATTTTGTAAAGAGTGTGGTGGTTGTCCCTTTTCAAATTTGATGGGATGTTATAATGGCAGTGTTCTGAAAAGCATCTGTCTTATTTTAGGCTGGAATCCACATTGTTTTGCAGGTCTGCCATGGACTTTGGTGACTACTTAAGTCATGGTCCTGACACAATACCTGTAATTTGTTATTCCAGTCTATAGCTGATGGGAGATGCAGATGTTCCTGACTTGCTAATTTTTTGTCTTTAAAATACGTTCTTGCTGGGGTGACACTGACAGACCACAGTCTCCTTGGTTAATCGGTTACTCTGAGGGACACTTCTGCTATATGTGTCCACTTAGTGGCTAAACAGTATCAGCTGGCCTGGTGTGAGAGCTCCACTTCACAGACAGATCCCCAGGGGCTAAAGTAGAACAACAGACCACAGGCTCCCACTATAAACCAACGCAACGTTAATAAATCCTTTTCCATTGCAGCAATTGTATTCAAATGGTTAGTTGTTATCGCCAGTTAGTCTTGAGTGTAGAGTGCATAATACTGAATTTGTAGTGCCTACTTCCTACATGATTATATGTAATTTTGTGAAGCATTGCATGCATGTCTAACATAATTCAACGTGAATGGCTTTGAACATTTACAGGCCAGAACTGAGTAATTGATGCCATTGTCGCGTAATTATGTTTTTATCTGAAAACATGGAAGTTATGAATGAGGAATGGGGTGGGGGAAGATTGTAAGCTCTTGTGTCTGAAAAACACTTCCTCTGTTTTTGTTTGACATACACTAGTGGAGGACATGGCAATGACTCGATGTGCCCTTCACAAAGCAGAGCAGGTACAGTGCTGTCCATGCTGTGCAGAGGGAGTGACAGCGCTGGTAGGCCACTGGCGTCTTGTCTTTTTACCCGGTGTGTCCCGTGTTCAGGACAGCGTGTGGGCGGCAGGCTGTGCGAGCTGCGTTATTAATAGCACAGCGCCAAGGCAGTGTTGACAGCCACGAGAACACACAGTTGTGTGAATTTGTTTCCTGAGTACCTTTGTTCACCAGTCCTCCTGCTGAATGAAAGCACGCCTTCCATCCTTTATGGGGAAATCTTTATTTCACTTTAGTATGGCTTTTATTGTGGTTGTAGTTCAGCAGGTGCAGTGGCAATTGTTGCAGCCTGTTTGCAAACGGTGGCTTTTATCCATTTAAAGTTCACCTGATAATTCACTCCTAAGAGAGCCTGATAAAAGTTGTAATTCTTTTTGCTTCATCCCGTCACCTTGCTGGCGCTGCTTGGATTTTTAAATGGAATTTGGAAAAGGGCTGTTATGAGACAGTCTGGTGACTTTTATTGATTTTTAATTTGCTTGAATGCAAATTTCAAAGAAAATTCACCATAATATTTCTCCATTACTGTTTTATTTACTTTTTTATAATGGATATTTGAGAAGTGCTTTGGCTCTTGTTTTATCTCTCTGATTGTACGCTGGGTATTATTTCGTGTGCTTTTCATCTTAATCAAATAATGGTATGTGTTCAAATTAGTTCTCAAACTCTTGCAGGGTACTTTGTAATAATCCCCCTTCATTAACGTTGAATTCAAGGTGCATTTTAGTTGACTTTTGTAGTCATTATAATGACTAATCAGTAGTTTAAGTATTACTATTTTAATGTGCAATCTTGTGCTCTGTGTCATATTATAAATCAATTTTTTCTCAGAATTGTACTCTGCTGTTCCCTTGATATGCTGTTTTTTCTTCCTTTCATCCCCCCCTTAGATCTCGAAACGGATGACAGCACATCCTTCTACATCTTCAACGTCGATCAGCCCCAGTCTGTGGTCAACCAGCCCATCGGGATCCCTCGTCATGGCCTGCAGTCTCACTCTCCTGTTATTTCACCGCCACCTCGGCTGCAGGCACACAAGAACTATGACCCCAGCTGTGACGTCCAGGGCACCAAGTACAGCCCCATGACCGGACCCAAAGCCTTCGAGTGCCCAAGCATTCAAATAACCTCCATTTCTCCCAATTGCCACCAAGGCATTGAGGCAAATGCAGTTGAACTTCAAGCTAATGGCCCGGAGAGTGATTACCATGATAGAACTTTATCAAGGGACCATCTCTATCTTCCTCTTGACCACTCTTACAGGGATTCTTCCTTAAGCCCCAGCCCTGCCAGCAGCATTTCTTCCAGGAGCTGGTTCTCGGACGCTTCCTCGTGTGAGTCCTTCTCCCACGTGTATGATGATGTTGACTCGGAGCTCAACGAAGCGGCCGCCCGCTTCACACTGGGCTCCCCACTGGCCTCGCCCGGCGGCTCCCCCAGGGCTTGCGCCGGGGATGAGCCCTGGCAGCCCCATTACACTTTCACCCACTCGCTGTCCCCCAGGCAGTCCCCCTGCCACTCTCCCCGAACCAGTATCACAGACGAGAACTGGCTGAGTCCAAGGCCAGCTTCTAGGCCCTCTTCCCGGCCCACCTCGCCGTGTGGGAAGAGGCGCCACTCCAGCGCCGATATCTGCTACCCCAGCTCCCTGTCACCCCACCACTCCCCAAGTCCGTCCCCCGGCCACTCCCCTCGTGGCAGTGTGACCGAGGACACGTGGATAAGCAGCCCCTCCCTGCACAACCCGGCAGGGCTCAGCCCAGGCGTCTCGTCCTTCCAGTGCTGCCCCTCAGAGGCAGACATTCCCTCCAAAACCAGGAAGACCTCTCAGGATCAGACGGCGATATTGCCAGGGAAGGGGGAGCACTGCCTGGAAGAGCCAGGAAGCATGTCTCCCTCTCTGGAATCCCCTGTGGACGACCCCGCTCACAGTCTGAAGAAGGACGGGCCAGGAGAGCAGTTCCTTTCTGTCCCTTCTCCCTTCACTTGGAACAAACCAAAACCAGGCCATACGCCTATTTTTCGGTAAGTGAACCTTTTCGGTGTGGTTTCACATTTTTTAAAATATTCATAATTTATTCCAAGGTGACTAGTGTTCAGAACCTCAACTTTCCACATTGCATGACTCAGCCTGATGTTATTTAGCAAACTCTTTCAAAACTCCCACTGAGAATTTTGCATTTCCATGTGCAGTGCTCCAGTCAGTTCATTATAAAATAAGGGGCGGGGCTCCCAGAGACTTACTCAAAAGTACCTTGAATTATCACTTCAACTAGAAAACACTTATGACACATTAATCACTTGCTAGTTAATAAATTACTAATATTAAACTAAGTTTTTATAACTTAATTGTAAGTCATATTCATTTTCTTTGACAAGCTTTTGAATGTGTGGAAGTAATCAGCCTTTCTACCTTCTAGCCCAATAAACGCATATTTTAAGGGAAAGCTATTGGAACGCTACAGTTCTAGTCTGCAAAAACCTAACTCTCATCCTGGAAATGTATAATCTGCGATCATGCTGACTCAGTACCTTCCTTCTAACATAGGAAATTGCATAAGTTCCATATAATTCAACATAAAGCAGTTGTTTTTCAGTGTCCATAACTCAAATTTCATCATCAGTAAATTTTATGGTTCAAAGTGCTTTTTCTGTCAATTGGTCAAGCAGGCACATTTTTTATCTGGCAAAAACATGCTGTACGATTTCCACCACAAAGAGGATTTGGAGGGTGATAATAAATAAATGTCAACTGGTAAAATAAGAAAAAGAAAACCAGTGTTGCGAGGGCTAGCCAACACATAAACTATAAAGCCTGAGTCAAAGTGCAGAGTCACCAGCCCCTTCTGTTAACTGTTCAAATTGATTATAAATTGTGCCAGTGCTTCAGAATTCAGGTTTGAGAGATACAGTAGTTGCTGTTTCACGAATTGTAGTCCAGACAATTACTTTACTGATTGATGCCCTCAATATTCCATGCAAAATCACTTTTATTTTCAGATATTTGCTGAAACATCAGCCCCCAGCCCCAGAAAGCCATTATCTTCAAAAGAAAGCCATGTATAGAATTATAAACTCTAAAATGCACCTACTTGGCAATTTGATTGTTTAAAACTGAGATATTTTACAAATCTGACTTGTGTTGGTGAGAGGGCATTGTGCTGTTTCCTTGAAATTCTCCTTTCACAGTGGATGGCAGGGCAAAGTTTGGATCTGTTTCTACCTCAGAGCAATCAAAAGGGTTTAAAATGTTGGAGTCCTAGCCACCTGTGAGATGTGGAGTGGCCTCAAGGAAAGGCTGCTTTATTTCAGTCATGAGATTGCTGCTGCCAGCTTCACATTTTTTGTGTCTCGTGTCTCATTAGTCTCTTCAGACACATGCTCATGCTGGTTGGGTGACGGAGACCCTTTTGGGAACACAGCATGAGCATGTCCCCAGCAATCTTCACCTTGTCCTCCACCCTGAGGTTGAGGTTTTACCACATTGAGTGGGTTTGAAAAAGTGAATGCCTGGTTATGTCATTCTGGAGTATGTGCTTCTCAAAGCTAGAGCACGTAGCTCTGCGTCCTCTGTGCAATGAAATGGTAGCTGAAGCTTTTGGATAAAGGTGTCGCTGGCAAACTTTATTTTTGGCAAAATAAAAGCTAATTTTATTTGGGAGACAATTTGTGAAATTTTTTAACCATCTTGAATGTCAAAAAAGAAATGAGTCTCTTGCCTGCCATGTTTCTTTTTTTTTTTTAGAAAATATGTCGATAGCTTGGTTAAATAGAATTACTTTCTCTGTGGCCAATATCTCAGTGATGTTGAGAAAGGAACTTGCTTCTAGAGTTGATGCAGTTTGCATGTGATTTTCCTGCAGACGTTTGCTTCATGTGCCTGAATTTGCAGGTCAAGTTAGTTTTGATGCATTGCCATGATCTGATAAAATAAACAAAGAACCCATAGTAAGTAGGTGAGAGGAATGCAGTAGCTGAAGTTAACATCAGCATTTAAAATGTCAGTTCCTTCCATTGGCTGGTGAAAGTTGTTGTTCAGATTGGTTAGTATACATTGTAAGAATCTTCTGTGGTATTGGCAATATTCTACCCTGATACAACTACTGCTTGAGTAACACAAAATAGCTATAGTTACTGCTATCTTTTTTTACTTTTCTTTTTCACTTAATAAATCAATAGAGAAAAAAATATTGATCACTATCAAGTCAATAGAATTCTGTAACATTTGTTTATCGGCTATTGAATTATTAAAAGTAGAGCAAAATTCCGTTACCGGGTCAGTTGCCTTGTTTCTAAAGGGATACAGAGTATCGTTGAAGAGACTAGGTTCAATCAGTAGGACGTTATTTCCTATAACATATTGCAGCTACAGTGGGGAGGAAGCCCTGTCATCCTGTAACTGTAAATAGAGCAGAAACACCTGTACTGTCTGAATGCCAAATGTTGGTGGAAAATTGGCCCAACATCTTTTTGTTTTTTGTATAATACAACAGCATGCTCTTTCACTGAGGAAAAAGTAATATATTTAAAACTATAGGTGTAGGTTTAACGTCCTATACAAACCGAATGGAATGGGAGGTCGTTGCAAAAGCTCTCTGGGGTTCCAGTGGATCAGTGTTTTTTTCATGCAGCTGTTCAAATAGGACTAGAGCCTCAATAAATAAGCGCTGTAAAGGTAAGAATCAACAGAGGAATATAAAGAATGCAGTGTGGTGCACTTTCCATACAGGCCAGCTCACATTTTTGTCAAAATGATTTATACAGCTTGACTGCCACTCATTTTAGGTGAGTTTTTGATGTCATACCATAAGCGGCTGCTGTGTATTTATTTTAAGGTTAACTAAATTGTAATTACATACAGCCGAAGCATGAACCTCTAATAGCCATGGCAGAAATATGTTCACAAAGCCATTTTGTTTTGGAGAATTCAGTCATAATGCTGGTTTGCTGTAATTGGAGCTTCGGGACAGTTCATCATTGTGCATCATGAACTGTAGAAATTCTGGTGTTACATACTGTAGCTTCAGTCAGTTTTTTGGATGACTAGAAATAAGTACTCTAGGCTGCAATTTCTGAAAAACAAAACTAGTATGGAGAAAGATAAGAAGAAAGGTGACACACGAGATGAGGCCCTTTGATCCGTCTCACTTACCAAATTGATAGGAGCACGTAGCCCCATTTTGTATGCAGCTCAAGTGGCAAGCATGCATTCGTCTCCTCCTCTGAATGAAGTAAATAGACAGTTGCTCCTCTTCACTTTAGAAGACAGTTGGACACTGTGGTGACACTTGTGTATATGCTGCAATGATGCTTCTTATGTCTTCTTCCAGGACTTCGTCCTTGCCTCCACTGGACTGGCCCCTGCCCAGCCAGTTTGGGCAGTACGAGCTGAAAATCGAGGTCCATCCCAAGACACACCACAGAGCTCATTATGAGACCGAGGGGAGTCGAGGGGCAGTTAAAGCAGCTTCTGGGGGACATCCTGTGGTCAAGGTGAGGTGTCCAGGCTCTACTGGAAATCTGGATAATACTCGTTCAGGCTTGCAACCAGCAATGTGCTTTTAAAAGCATGCCTCGACACAGTGTGAATGAACCAGGTTTCTGTCATTTGATCCTAGGGACAGGTAGGTTTTCAGCCTCATTCTTGTCTTTCATTGAGAAGTCTGGGAGATCCTTGTAGGCAGATTGTAAATATTTAATGGCTCTGGGGATAGTGGCCTTCTGTTAGATGACAGTAGTCTTACATACCCACAAACCCTAATGAAGGTGCAATCACTGCTATGTTACAATATAGGAGAGAATAGAGATATTAGTTTAGTTTAGAGAGGACAGATCTCTAAATGTTAGCAGTTCAGGAATAAAAATGGGTTCTTTTACATTTCACAGCAATTCAGTCTGTGAGTATTTCTGCACCTGTTATGCGTTTTTGCTTTCCAGGAGCTCCAGCATTTCAATCCTGTTTATGGTTCAGGTGGTTTTGACAGGGAAGCGTCCCACAGGTTTCTTGCTATCCACTCTGTGTTTTTCAGATGGCCAACTCTGTATTATTTGCTACTGGTCATGGGATTATTTCCTTTTTCTTCAGGAGCCTCTCTGCTTTCCCACGTCTCCCATGTCTAATGAATTGTGTTGTCGACAGATCTTTATCCTGAAATTAGCCACGGCTAATAATTAACCCCCTATAAACCACAGTACCTGGTTCCAGCTAGTCAGGGTGTGAAGATGCATAATTTAGATAAAAACATAATGAATTGGTTCAGTACTCATTTTCCCACCTGTTGTGTGTAATTTTCAACAAGGAACTTTAAAATTACCTTCAGTATTCCCTCATATGTAACAAACCAGCAGGTTTCTGAGTAGCAGAACTGATTGCAGTAAGATCTGCAACACCAGCCTGTCATGCTAATAATGATGTAATATCAGTTGCACTGAACTTGCCGTTTTGCAGCTGGAAGGAATGATTTGCTTTATGAATAATAATTTATATTATAACAACTCAGTTAAGTGTTTTTAGGTTACTGATGCAATATATTTAATGAAGGTATTCTTTATTTCTCATGGGAGATGTGAAAATTATTGCGTGTGAGGTACAGTGTGGGCTCATCGCCACTAAAGATCTTCACTTAAGAATGAAGTCTTGTTTTTGGAAAGTAGACATTTATCCTTGAATAAAGTTGGGCACTTTTGTTAGCACTTAACTGCTTGTAGCTTTAATATACATCTTTAGATGAAGTGTTAAAATAATGATAATAAGCTAATTTAACCATTTGCAAAAAATGTTTACTTTGATTCTTTGAGTGAAAAAAACCCACAACCTAAACAATCAGCTGTCCCTTTTGCTGTTCTCTTTCTCAGTTGTGCAGTGGTTCCATGGGACCCAGGAGTAGATACTGTACTCCTACAGAATTAATGTTTTGGAATTTTTAGGAATATTAAGTATTTATGTGTGCATACTCACTTCTGCTGCATGAGTAGTAAAAAAACAACATTTTACAGTTTGTAATGTTGTAATATAAAATCGAGTTGGACATCTTAGGAATCAGATGGTAAAATACTGTGACATTCAGGAAAACGCACTTCCTAAAGTAGTCAGTTGGGTCAAAATGAGCTTTCTAAAGGACAAAGGGATATTCGACAGGCTAAGAGTGTCCAAAATCAAAGATTTATATTAATTAGCCAATCAGATGGTGTGAAGGAATTTTTTTGTTGATTGTTGGTTACATAGTTTTTGACACAACCTGTAATATTTCATTCCTAAAACTAGTAAAGTCATGACTAAACGAGCATTGCGGTTTCCTTGGGCTAGTTTGGCAAGTTAGTAAAGGGGGGAATCACCTACAGTTCCTCTGTTATTTCTCACTGCAGAGACAGAATTACAACAGTGGCAACTGCAGGAGTTAGCTCTTGTTCAACCATTGAGGAAGCAAAGAGTGTGATTGTTCAGTAAGCAGGATTCCCAAAGGTCATATGAAATGGGAGCATACAAAAAGCAGTGCTTTTGTTATCTTGATATCTTTGTGATATCTTGATAAAATATGCATAGTTTTGCAGAATCTTCAAAATGTCATGAGCAGAAATTAAAGAATGTGTGTGGAGAATTTTTAGGTTTTCTGCACAGAATTCCCAAAAGTCCACATTTTAAACTCAACCACTGCCAACTGTCTTAAATTGCTTTCACCACCTTGGTTACTTTTCCTCATGAGCCACCAGATTTCACATCTTTTTCAACAAATAGTTGTTGTGCAGTTATTATGTACTCAGGACTGGAGCTCTGGGGCTATCGGTAGGAATTTTTGCCTGCCTGCGTAGGACTCCTGTCGCTTCTCCATGTAGTGTCAGAGACTGACGAGATACAGCAGGTCTGGATTGAGGCCAGACTGTACATCAAGTGCACTGGCTGGAGGAGCTTCCTTGTGTGGTTATCAGAGAGATGAAAGTGGCATAAAGCTGCTGAGTCAGCAACAAACAAACCATGAAACTGGGAAAGAGGCCATTGTGTTGTTTTGTGTGTAAGATACCCTGGGGTGATGAAATGCATTATTAATAACTCAAGCAGTACACTTTATGTTCTCAATATTGTGGCATTTCCTTAAAGAGGTGCCTCCTCCATGTACCCTATCCAGTGTGCATACTTCATAATAAGGCTAGGCCATAGATCTTGCTTGCCTTTGCATAAAATTTGTGGTAAGTACAGCAGGCTTAGTAGCTGATTTTTTGTTTTTTTGTTAAGACAGGTTTCCTATATGAACAGGAAAGATTTGGCAGAGCTAAAGACTAAAAAACTGTCTTCAAAATGATAGTTATACAGCCTTTTTACAGCTTTGTGCTGGCTTGCTGCAGAATATAAAAACATCTAATAAATAAAAGTGAATGTTTTGCTGCTCATAATTCTGAGGAGAGAATTCAGGTTTTATTGATTGCCTCAGTTGTGGACCTCAGAGTTCTGTTGTGTGCTGTCTTTTTAACTGACAGTCTTTGAGGTTTCCTTTCTCCCCATATAGTGTGGCCTGACCCAGTTGGGTGGTTTCAGGCATTACATTTGTCCTGGTAAGGTCGTCTCCTGACATGAGCTGATAGAAGTTTTATGAGAAAGTGTAATACAACTCTGTCAGTGATCTTTAGGAAAAGATCTGTTTCACATAAACCACCTGTATTTGTGAAGAATGAAATCAAAAGAGAAAAGGGTCATTTTTTGCGCTGCAGTAGCTCTGAACTGTACAGAGTCTTACTAGTTTGGCCATGCAAGGATATTGCAAGAAAATATAGGGATGAAGAGGTAATAGTGTTTACAATTTATGCTTGGAAACAGAAATATATAGATTCTTTCTGTGATTATTGCTTATTACTGGTGATTTACCCTTGATTAGTGATAAATCCTATGATGTAGTCCTTGTATGATACGCAATTCACTCTTTTCTGTGCTGCAAGACAGTTCAGGCTTATTCAGATTACATGGGGTGGACCATTTCATCATACCTGTTGCTAGGAGACTTGTAAACCCATAGCTGGTTTAGCAGGGGATTCCATGTGTGTATGTAATCAGCTTACTGTGCTTTCTGACAGCAAGAGGAACAAGTGGGCTTCTTCATACGAGCCTCCTGCTGGGGCACAGTCTCCAGCCAGGCTGCCCGTCATTCAAATCCAGCGCCTTTAACATCCACTGTTCAGCCTGAGCATCGCTAGAGTGCTGTACACTGTAACGGGAAACTGTTTTGTTTCTTTCATGTTACGTTTGCAAAGCAGTGAGGAAGTAAGTTGAGGTTTTTGAGTTTATGCATTTCCCAACAGTGTTCGGCTGAAGTCACCAGTCACGTGGAGCATCATCCAAGTACTGCAGTGAAGCACAAAATGTCAACATACTTTTATTGTGTTTATTAGCTTGAAAATACGTGTGAGGCCATATTGTTCAGTTCAGTTTCTGGAGGTTTCCAGAGGTAAACTATGCTAGCTTATGGAATATGAGGCCCAAGAGCATATTTCGTGTGTAGTAATTTTGTTGTTTCTATGACAGTTAGGCCCTTGCTCTGCCAGTCCTTTAGGGTGAGAGGCACAATCTCCTGTTCCTTGACAAAAGGCAAAATAAAAAGGCATTAATGACTTTGAACTTTGCCTTATCGCTTCACTGTATCACGTATGTACACTGGGCCTTTGTTAGTTTAAAAGTACCTCATGAATGCAGTCATAACCTTGAAATAATGAAAATCATTTTCATTTTAATAGGTTAAAGGAAGTATGCTTGTTACTTGAAATAGATTTTATTTCACAGGGATTAGAAAATAAATAGAAGATACTACTCTACAATGTCATTATCGAGACCGGAAGGGGATTTCTTTGATATATTTGTTGTTTTTTTAACAAGATAGAGGTACAGTTCTGTTTGTTTACTTTCATACTCAGTCACTACTCTATTGTGTGCTGTAGTGTGTGTTGTCTGTATTCGGAACCACCATTTTACAGAGAACAGTGCTGGAAACGGGTTTAGTAGACGCTTAATAATAGACGTTAGACGTATGAGTATGTGCATTTGTTTAATATAACTTAATTAGTCTTGTGTTCAAAAATAATTGAAGATTTCTGACACTAGCTCGAACGATGAATGGGCTCTGTTTATTGCTGGGGGGCTCTTGTATACTCTTAAGGGGTCCACTGATGCGACTGGCAGTATGGTAACAGTAATGTTAGAAATCGGTGTTGTGGGAGCTTTTACCATATTCTGTGCTGCCCTTCAGTCTTTGGCCATCTGACTGCAGTTCTGCTTACGCACAGACTGACCCTTGCCATGGAAACGATACAGAAACACAGAGACACAGCTTGGCAGCCTCCCCGCACAGAGCAGCGGGCGCCTTGTGTGAGAAAGTGTAGTGTTACTCATGGGAAGGTTTACCTACAGTCAATCATTGAAACATGTGGCACTCCATTCACCATGCAGAGCTGTGCATACTGGATTCCTTTAGAGGTAAAACACCAATGCAGCTATCATTGCACTGCGTGTT